CTAAATTTTCAGTTTGATTCAAAGTTGAACCAAAGAAATAATAGAAACCAAAACACACATATTATCATTATTGTTACTAGTCTTATCATCATTTGAAACCAGAAGTATATTTTCTCATAATGAGCACAAGATAATTTTTGATGTAGCGATATCCGTTGAACCCTAGGAAAATCGAAAGCCACAAACTATTCATGTTATTTTAATTTATAAACATGTACACATACATATATGTTTATGTATATGTTTGGGGTGAGATCCATTTCATTTTTATGAAATTAATATATTATTTTGTGGACTTGAGAAGTCCGTGGGATGTGTAGCCACTCCTGATGGAGGTTTAACCACGTTGCCTCAAATTCCACAGCTTCGCAGAATTCTAAATTTATCTTTCGAAAGAAAGGAAAATTTGAAAAAAACAAGACAAACAAGTTTTTTTTTTTGTGTTTACAGACAAACAATTTTAAATTTGTATCTACGACTGGACTATAAACTCTTTATTTCAATATACTATCCTCTATAGATTACTCCAAAAAATCATTTATGGGAGTGGTGTTCCAAATAAAAGAAATCTTCACAAGATCAAGACTATAACATACATATATAGAATGAGAGGATGGGGAAATAAAAATATTTTGCGTTTGTATTTTTACCTATCATACATTATGAAAAGTTTACAAAATAACTTTTTTTTTTCTCTCATCACTACTAGTATTTAAATTTGAATGTAAACAAGTTTAAGTTTTGATGAATAGTTTCTAAGTGACAACTGCGATATTCTTAACGAAAATATTCAGTTACCTATTATCCCTAGAAAAGGACCAAAGAGGAACAAAAAGAACCGAAATGGACCTTTCATGTTTATACGTATACATGATCATGAAGCAGAATGCGTTGTCATGTCTCTTCATTAGAATCGATCATCCAAGTAACATATATGTATGTATCTCTCTTTTTCCCTTTACTTGATTCCCACGTTGGTAGCAACCTGACATCAAACTTAATTATCTTGTTCTCTCCTTTCCTTTCTCAAGTGTATATCCAAAGTCATATCTCTCCTCTCAATACGCTGTGGACTTCTTTTTCACTAACAGCAATTTAAATAGGGTTGTAATATATACTGAGTGATGAATGAGAATCTTCACGTTAACACGATCGATAACATTTTGATAAAACCAGAAAATTTTATACATATGACCACTTCTCTTAGTAATTGAAAGAGCTTGTCTCCTTCTAGCACACGTTAATTCATATATGACATGCAAAGAAAGAGGTTGAAAAAAATACTGAACCACTTTTCTTGTCACAAATTATTGTATTTGTTCGACGAGGATTAAATTAATAGCAATAACAATAAGTAGAACATATGAGAGAATAAATAAACAAATAATAGTGGACTGCAAGCTTATCATTTGAGATTAAATAACATTCATCATTTTGAAAAAAAAAAAAACAATTTACTAATTTTACAAAATACCAATTTGCTTCAAGTCTTCTTCTCTATATATACATCTTCTCCAATCCAACAAAAGACACACACACACACACACATATAACACTAAACCTTCCATCCTCTAGTCCTAAAAAAGCTCTCCATAATCTGAATAATTTTCCCACACATTCCTCTGTTTTTTGTTATTCAGAACCAACTTCTAAACTCTGTTTCAAGATGTATAGAAATAACAACAAGAAGTCTCTCAACATCTCAAGCATGTTCCAAAACTTCATCCCCGACAGCAACATTTTCTCCAGACGCTGCATTTGGGTCAACGGTCCGGTCATCGTCGGAGCTGGCCCATCGGGCTTAGCCGTAGCCGCGGGCTTGAAACGTGAAGGTGTACCGTTTATAATCGTCGAGAGAGCTAACTGCATCGCTTCTCTATGGCAAAACAGAACATACGATCGTCTCAAACTCCACCTCCCTAAACAGTTCTGCCAGTTACCAAACTTCCCCTTCCCTGAGGATTACCCTGAATACCCTACTAAGTTTCAGTTCATCCAGTACCTTGAGGACTACGCAACACACTTCGACATCAACCCTAAGTACAACGAGACAGTGCAATCAGCGAAATACGATGAGACGTTCGGGCTGTGGAGGGTTAAGACCATTTCCAAGAGCGGGCATCTTGGTTCTTGCGAGTTTGAGTATATCTGTAGGTGGCTTGTGGTGGCTACTGGTGAGAATGCTGAGAAAGTTGTGCCGGATTTTGAAGGGTTAGAGGACTTTGGTGGAGATGTTCTTCACGCCGGAGATTATAAATCCGGTGGAAGGTACCAAGGGAAGAAAGTTCTGGTTGTCGGATGTGGAAACTCTGGCATGGAAGTCTCTCTTGATCTCTATAATCATGGAGCAAACCCATCAATGGTCGTTCGCAGCTCTGTAAGTTCCAAAGTCTAAGTCTTTATAACCTACTCTGTTTTTAAAGAACAGAGTGTCTTATAACCCAAAAAAAACAGAGCATCCCCTGTTTTTTAAAACAGAGTGTACTTATACTCTGTTTTGTTCTTTTTTTGCTTATAACAGGTTCATGTGTTACCAAGGGAGATTCTTGGCAAGTCCACGTTTGAATTAGGAGTCACGATGATGAAATATATGCCGGTTTGGCTCGCGGACAAGACACTGCTCCTACTAGCTAGGATAGTGTTGGGGAATACCGACAAATACGGTCTGAAAAGGCCGAAAATAGGACCGTTGGAGTTAAAGAACTTGGAAGGTAAAACACCGGTTCTTGACATCGGAGCATTACCTAAAATCAGATCGGGAAAGATCAAGATCGTCCCAGGGATTATAAAATTTGGTAGAGGAAAAGTTGAGCTAGTGGATGGACGTGTTCTTGAGATTGATTCCGTTATTCTAGCTACTGGTTACAGAAGCAACGTCCCTTCATGGCTTAAGGTAATAATCTAAGACAACATATCTATCTTTCATTGTTTCTTTAATAGATCTAGCGTGAAATTTTGTAACATTTAATGTTGTCGGAAGGAGAAAAAACATGAATACACCCACCCGACCCGGTCCGAGTTTAGTGACTAAAGTTGTGTGTTTGAATGTGAGCCATAAATGAAAAAACACACAATCTTAGAAAAGATTGAAAGAAACGTTACATTTTAGTATATTTTTCATTGACAAAGGATAGAAGATATCGTGGTACTAATTGAAGTCGGTTTTTAATTATATTTTTCAGGACAATGACTTCTTTTCCGATGATGGGATACCGAAAAACCCGTTTCCAAACGGGTGGAAAGGAGAGGCGGGATTGTATGCGGTGGGGTTCACGAGAAAAGGATTGTTTGGCGCGTCGCTGGACGCGATGAGTGTGGCACACGATATTGCAAACAGGTGGAAAGAAGAATCTAAGCAACAGAATAAAACTGCTGCTGCTCGTCATCGTCGATGTATCTCACATTTCTAGCTTGGAAAATAAAAATTTATATATATATTAGGGAAAGAAAAAAAATAAAAAATGGATGAATGTGAAAGAAAAAAAAAGATCTAAGAGAGAAATAAGCCCTCTCCTATGAAGAAGAAACCCAAAAACAAAAATTGTGAAAAATACAAAATATTTAGGGTTTTTTTTTCTTTGTTTTAAGGAAGATGTGGCTTTTTATATATATTCTGATTTTATTATTTTGTTTTGAGAGTGCTTTGTTTTCTTGTTGTTGTTGTTGTTGTTGTGTATTATTTTTCTTCTTCATTTTAGATTTTGAACTCTGTAAGAAGTTTTGCTTAATCTAATATGACAAATGTTATTATGCTATTTCTAATCTTGATGATCTTTTTAATTTATTAAGCAACACAAAGAAGAAAGAAACAACTAATATCATGCTGTTTCATTATTGGAAGAATACCCTCATATGTTAAGAGCTGTTATTTAGGTGTTTTGGGAATTATTATACCATTTTGTAATGATTTAATCTGACAAATAATTGATTACACATGATTATCTTGGACCATTAATACAAAATATTACTATGATTACTCATATCCGAGGGAGCAAAACATGCATTTATGATTTATGTAGGATATGCAAGATCCATTAGGGATGCAATCGACCTGATATCAAGGAGAACAAAGAACACAGAAAAACATATATCTGCCTAATCATTTATCAGTTTAAGAAAAAGAATTACTAAAGGGTTTTTATTACATAACATGAATTAATTAGATAATTTATAGGAAACTATCAATGAAAATGAACTTCAGAACTTATATATGATATAGATATAATTTAAAACGATTATACATATACATTTGAAACATTCAGATCCAAAATATGCAGTATGTATCTGTTAACATTATTTAAGTTTTTCATTTGTCAAATTGCACCTTAGAATAATTTAAGGTGCCAGAGTAACTTTATTTTCACCAAGTATAGCAAACAAAGTTTTACATACTGTGTATATGGACAAAGCCTCTGCTTATATTTTTTCTTGAACTCTGGTGCAAAGAGACCATACATTTATGAGTATCAAGTTTCATTTGAGGTCTAATACTCTGCAGGCAAAACCCATTGAACCAGCAGAACATAGATTTAACAAACAAAAGGACAAAAAAAATAAACTTTAGAAGTTTATATTTGTGAAATGTGGTGATGATTGAATGAAGGCTAGAAACTATGGTTCTTTCATTCTCTGGTCCAAACAGAAAACATTAAAAGCTAACTGTGTAGATGTCTGGTTCCCATCCTCTTAAAACAGTTATTCATGTTCTCACACAGAACCCTGCAACCTTTTATCAGACATCACCTTAACCTAAAGATATGGAGAAAAGTAACCACATGGGTCAACTGGATTCAGCCGCCCATTTAGACTGTTCTCTTATCAATGAAAAACACCAAACCGACCCAATCTTTTTTTGCCGGTGTCTTACCAGATTCACAAGAGAAATAGTTTTGAATATTACTAACATACTACAAGTTGATATACAGTAGGACCAATGTACATTAATCACTGTAGAATGAGTCCAACATTTGTAAACTTATATGAGCAAAGACCTTATATGTTCATTTCTTCGAGAGCATTTGATCTATTTGGCCGTTTTTGTTGTACATTTCTACTATCTTCTTGGAATATGAAGGCATGTGACTGTTGGCTCTGCAGATGACAATACCACTTTGGTTATTAGAGGGCTAATATAAACGTTTATCTCTATGAATGTGGTTCAGATTTTTACCTTTCTTTCCCCCATTTTCGGTTGACGTGCAAATAGTTTCTGATGGTATGGTAATCCAATGAGTACCGAGCAAATTCAAGACCCTTAGGACCAACCTGAAGCAAGAATGCATTTATCCAGTCAAGACTTTTTGCTATGAAGTTACTAGCCAGGTTTGTGTTTATAAAGAGAGAGAGAGAGAGCTTTACCAAATTTAAGATGAATGCGATTATGTTCCCAACAAATAGTGGCGCAGGCTGAGCAGGACCTTGACCTGCGAAAATACAGAGAAGTGACTTATATTATTTGCATAAGTTTCATGCCAGATAATATTTGGCATCTTGCATTGCGTTAATAAGAACCTGGCTTTAAGCAAAGATGATTCAAGAAACCAAACAGTTTCAGATAAGTTTGAAAACATACCAAACTTAGCAGCATCATCTGCCTTAACCGTCTCTGTCACAAAAGGTCGCCGATCTCCCTGAAACAACAGCAAAAAACGATATGTTTTCTGTTAACTGAACCTATTAAGTCTTATAACAAGTAGCATAGATATTAGAAGACTTACGCTACTGATTGTTGGAGATATCTCCAAAAGGTTTTCTACTAAGCTTAGCATCTCTTTCCCACGCTCATTCCTGTAGTTTTATGCATAACCAACACTAATTTTGGCTAACCTCGCTAGACTATATGGTTCATATTGAAAATAGGGAGGTAGAAGTATTGACCTCACTGTAATATACTGCGGATGGTCAGTCATGTTCACACCTGAATACTTTGGAACTCCCATATAACCGATAACCAAATCCTGTAACCAGACATATAGTTGTTAAAGGAAGCGCTTGAAATTGGCAGATTATGACATCTTAACTGCTAGAGAAACACTCACCGCCAATGCATTTGTGTAATCAAAGCAGCTGCAGAAGAGAAAAGAAAATGATTTTTGAGAAGGTCACATCGGCAACAAATAATTAAACACAAACTTCAAAACTTTCTAGGGATTACCTATAACAAGATGGAGCTATGACATCAACTAAATCGTTTGCTGGTAGAGAGAAATAGGGAACCTGTTTTAGCCAAACAGATTTTAAAAATTGATTAAGCTGCAACATTGCAGAAGCAATACAATATTTTAAGTGATTATACCTCTTCAATGTGTCCGTCCAGGTGTTTAAGTTGTACCTACAAGAGAAGTCAAAATAAGCTTAGCACCCCCCCCAAAGCAAGTGCTCATGGCTAAAAATAAAGGAAAATTATAGATAGCGGTATGTATTTAACCTTGTAATCTTGCATAAACTCATAGTGGAGAACAGTCTCTGGATCCTTACTAGCCGCTTTAAGAAACTTGTCAAGTCCTTCCCGTGTTCCATTGTCCACTATTGATTCACAAGGGATACTATTAGCACTAGTTGAAAACGTAACAGGCATTTCCAGGTTTTCGAATATTAATAAATATAATAAAGGATAAGTAAATTACCACAATTAGTGCCTAGAACATACAGCTTATCAAGATTAAGATGCTGCTCCACTGATCTCAAAGCTGCAGTATAAGAAATTATTCTGCATTATAACATTATGAGTCATGGTATGGAGGAACTTGAAAATATAATATAAAAAGAAGCATGTCAGAGACATACCTTGCACTTGGCAACCCACACCGCAAAAAAGAAGCCGTTTCACTCCAGAAGACTGTTACAATGCAACTTTTAATATATTTGAAATGGACTAAGTGATAGTAAACACATGCAAAGAAACAGAGGCCTGCAAGCAAATAACCTCGATTAGTTCAAGAGTATTCAGATTAGGAGACAGAGTCGGTTTGACGCCTCTTGCTGCCAAAACTTCTTCAGGTGTCCTTAGAATTAAAATAAATAAACATCAAGAGGGCTTCAAATCCAGAGTAACACAATAGTATGGAGGCCTTAAATAAATCACATAGGGATGGTGGAAAACCTGGCTAATACTGGTCTTGGAGACAATCTATCTTCAGGGTCACTGTTAATTCAACAAATCGTTTACATGATTATATGGAAGAAGCTATAACGCGGTTGATAAATGTCCTCCTTAGTCAATTACTGAAATTAAAAACTAGTTTATACCTTTGCACACAAACAACAGCCTCAACCATGTTAGATTTCAGCATCTCAATGGCTATGGTAGTGACAATTCCAGTCCACTGTGCTCCTGCAACCCAAATTAGAACGGAAATGTAACATAGCTTTCAAGAATAGCTTTAGGATCACAAGAAAAAATGTTTTTGAGCTTCTTCCGAGGCATAAAAATGGCTTAGCATCAGAGTACCTTCAACAGGCTTCAGTTTACGAGCATATAGCTGCTCTTGATGGACCCCAAAGTATGTATCTTCTAAGGAATCTGGTTTCCTTCCTCTACCATGCACAACAGGTTCCAAGCTCTGCACAAAAACTTCTAAAGTTGAATAAAACAAGAATCTTAAGTTCTTAACTCATCAACAAAAAAAGGTAACACATCTTGTCCATCTCAAGGACATTACCTCAATCCTTGACATTCCATCTCCAAGAAATGCACATGCATCCTTCACATGAGCTATATAGTAGGTGTCACATAGCCCACATCGACTGCAGAACCCAATTAAAACAACAAAGACATCTGATAAGAATCAGACAAACAAATAGGGAATTAAACAAAAGTAAACAGAACCTGCAATGATCTTTTGCTGGATAGGTGCCTCCAGGTGGTATAGGTTTTGACCTCTCCCTCCAGTCATCTCGTAGTTTCACTCTCTTTTTGGGCTCTATATTCACATCTACAGTTGAAGACCAGAAGACAATGAACAAAGAAAACTTCATGCAGGTTTCAGAAACAGACATAAACGTGCTAATCTAACACAAAAATTCTATCTTCAAACTCGGTAGTGGCAGCCATCGAAGACAAAGTTCCAATTTGTTTTCAAGTGCCAAAATTCTCCAAAATCTTTCATATAATTTAAAAGGATCGTTTTTGCACTGAAGGGTTAACGAAATTTTGTAAAAAGATCGATCTTTTAAGAAAATTGAAAGAATCTACGACATGTGTGAGCAGACAGCAAAACAGAGAGAGAGAGAGAGAGAGAGAGAGAGATACAGGAAAAAGAGTGAGCACCTTTGGGACGTGAAGAAGAAGAAGAGTTAACGACAGAGAAGAATGGAGGAAGGAGAGAGAGCTTGGAGGTGACAGTAATCATGTTTGCCCAGTGTGAGAGAGAAAACAGAGAGAGACAGAGGAGATATTTTTTTTGCTTTTGAACTTCGATTCCTCTTAAGATGATGATAAGAGTCAAAATTACAGACCAATGACAAATAACCGGTTAAAGACTAACCGACCTCAAACCCAATTAAACCGGACTGAAGAGTTTTATAATTTTATTTCAGGTCCGAATTGAAACAAATTAGAAAAAAAATACAGATTAGTATTCAAGCAAAACCAAAACAAGAACTGTTGTTGAATCATTCTTTCTCGTATTACCCGATGAAAAAGATAAAACAAGAACATATTATTCATCCTCACTTAAACATTCATTGATCATTGATCATCATCATCATATGACTTGGTGAGAGAAACTAAGAAGAGATCACCAGACGTCAGGACGGAGTTCCCCAGTGGCCGGTGGCATCCAACGACCAGAATTGTAAACGTTCTCACCAACTTTCCATCCTGGAACATCCTTCATTACATCAGCCTCGTAGTCAAGATACTTTTTCCACTCAGACACAAACCTATTTAACAACACAAACAATACGACCCGGGATTACTTACTGTCTGAAGGTTGCAGGAACAAAGACTTGAATTTTAAAAGAGAAAGTCATTATTACCTTTCATCTTCTTCAGCTTGAAGAATGGGAAGTATAGCTCTACGAGCCGCATATTTCTCTTCCTTTAACGCCCTATACCATCAAAATCAAATCTTACTAAAGAACTTACTAATAACGAATTAAACATGTACTTTTAACCATCACGAGGGAATTAAAAGTTTTCTGATAACGAGAAGCTAAGGAAATTCATGGCAAACAATACAAAAAATCAATTTTCTTTAGTTCACTAGAAAATACATTGCATATAAATGTTGTTAACTGATGATATACCACTAAATTACTAACAATCTACTATCAACTAGATTGCTTTCTTCATCTCAGCTTAACGATAGTGGCTTGTAGATTCCCACTTCTCCTAATATTATATCCGTCACATAAAGACACAACCTTAAAGGCAAAACTTGCGCTTATTAAGCTTCAACCAAAATGCCATGGAACACTAAACCAAACAACACACACACAAAACTCACCACTATCTCTGATTAAGATATAATTCCTAAACAATTAACCAAAAGTTTATATTTTTATTACCATAAAGCACAAAAGTTCCTAACTTTAAAGGAAAACTAGCCATTTCTAAAGACGAGGATGCGCACCAAATTGAAAGTTTCTCAGCTAAAGGAATCTCAATCATACCTACGGATTTTGTTTCCTTGTCCGACCTGATACATTCCCCAAGCAAAGGCACCAGAAACGGTGAGGAAAATCGCCATGGCGCTAGGACCCGTGTTGGATATCCGACGAGCATATCGCACCGGCGCGAATCCACCCGGTGGCGGACCATCCTGAAGCAAAGGCATATCCTTCACACTCGCCATCCCTGGCTTCTTCCTTATCATCGCCTCCGTCATCTTCGCTTCGATTGAATTGACCTCTGTTCACTGTGAGATCCGATTCGATTTTGCATACATTAGTCTCATAGGGGTTCAGAAGAAATGACATAGTTCGTTAGTGAACTGGGCTTTTTAAAGCCCAAGCCCATTTAATTCTAAAATACCATGGAGTCAGGTGATTGTGTTCATCTTCTTCGATTTTTCCAGAGTCTTAGGCCTGGCCATTTTAGCCAAACCTAAACATCCGAACCGATACCGATCCAAAAATATAGATTTGAGTCTGGGTCCATACTAAATACCTGTTGGCCTTTTCTGGATCCGCTGGTCTGGAACCTATCCGAGACTCGATTGAATACTCGAAATATCCGCATATCATTGTATATATAAGGTATATTGGGATGATTAAGTATATTTTATATTTCGGGTATTTTTTAATGTTTTGGATTTGAATTTTTGGGTATAATTTTAGGTTTTGAGTAAAATTTTAGATTTACAGAAAATACAATTAAGATATTCGGATGAAATTTCAGATATTTTTTGGGTTTTTGAGTATGATTTTAAATATAATTTTAGATGTTTTTACAGTTTTCTGATATTTTTAGAGTTCTTGGATAGTTTTTGGATTTTCAAATTTGATTTGGAATAAATTTTGAGTATTTTGTGGTTCTTCATATATTTTAAAAGTTTTTGGATATTTTTTTGAGTTTTCGGATTTAGTATGGATACTTCTAATTCTTTTTGGATCCTAAAAACCTGAATCGATCCAGATCTGAAATACACCAAGATATTTCACGGATATTGAAATGATAGAATCGAACCAATATTAAAATTATAGATCCGAACCGATTCAAACCAACAAGACCCGATCTGGAAACAACCCTAAAAAGTTATAGGTAAGCTATATGGGTATAGGGATTCAGAAGAAACAAACTAGGCTTTTTAAGGCCCAAGCTCATTTAAATGCGTAAATCACGTGTACTCACGTGACTGTCTTCTTCTTCTTTAAAATAAAAACCCCTACGTTTTCCGAATCTTTTCTTCAGCCGCCGCTTGTGTTGTTTTACCTCTCTACGATCATGGTGGGATTCAAGAACAGGTACATGTTGATGGAAGTTTATCTCGACCCCGACAAGGATCTTCTCGGGGAAGGAACTCCTGTTATCCTCACGAAACTCAACCTCTCCGAAGCAATCAAAGACAGCATCCTCGTCAATTTCGGAGAGTGCGGTCTCGCCTCTTGTCTCGGATCCTTACACGTCGCGTATGTGAACCCTGTCACGAAGCTATGCATTGTAAGATCATCGAGGGAGGAACACAGACAAGTTTGGTCGGCGATGACGTTGGTCAGAAGCATAGGGAACTGTCCCGTGGTGTTTAACTTGCTAGATAACAGCGGTTGTGTCAGAGCGTGCAGAGACGCGGCGTTGAAGTGTGAGACGGAGAAGTTTAGTCAGTGTGGGAAAGGATTGTCTGAAGAGGAGGCTCGAGAGATGAATAGGTGTTTAGACAAGCTCAAGCTGTTGTAATAACTCGACTTTTGTCGAATTTGACCCCTAAATTTTAAAAACGTGCAATTGTTCCCTTGTTTCATATACTGTTGTGATTTTGTATGGCATTTTTTGTAAGACTTGGAAACTCAAGGGGCACAATTGCAAAGTCGTCTTAATTAATAAAGTCAGAAATTATATAATTGGAGGAGCCATTATCGTCTCTGAGGTTAAGCTCTTCTGTGGAGGAGAAGAATCTAATCGGTATTGATCATCTAATCTATTCAAAGTCTCTGACTTTATCGATTAATTTACTTTTTATGTTGCATTACACTTGGTAATTTTAATGGGTTTCTTTGAATCTGGTTAGAATCCTTTACGAACTGTGTTTTTTGTATATGCACGTTACATGTTCGATGAAATGCCTCACAGACGTGGTACCAAAACAATATTCATGTTTCTACCTTTAGGGCATGATCTATGTATCCTAGCTCCTTAGATTTAATTCTTAACTTTAGCTTAGGTGCTTTTTTATGGTCATGCGTTTAGATCCCATCAGTAATCATCTTCCTGTTTAACCTTGAATATCTAGAGCTAAACTGAATAATGATGGATGATGTGCAGGAAAATGAGAACCTCTAGAACCCTTGAGGTCTGGAAGCTAGGAACTGTCAACTATTTGAAGTCCCTTAAACTTCAAGACAAGTTAGTTTCGGACAGAAAAGCTAATCGAATCCCTGATACCCTCCTCTCGCTTCAGCATCCACCAACTTACACGCTCGGAAAACGTAGAACCGATCACAACCTTCTGATCCCCCAAGCTGAACTCAAGAGCATTGGAGCTGAGCTTCATTATACTCAAAGAGGAGGAGATATCACTTTCCATGGCCCTCACCAAGCCATCTTATACCCAATCCTTTCCTTACGCAGCATAGGTTTCGGTGCTAGGAGCTATGTAGAGGCATTAGAGAGGTCAATGATCGAATTTTCTTCTCTTTATGGGGTGAAAGCTCGTGCAGGAAACAAATGTGAGACTGGGGTTTGGGTTGGAGATAGAAAGATTGGTGCTATTGGAGTTCGTATATCCTCTGGGATCACTTGTCATGGTCTGGCCTTCAACATAGATCCTGATATGAAGTACTTTGAGCACATTGTTCCTTGTGGGATTGCTGATAAAGAAGTGACATCTCTGAGAAGTGAAACGGATGCGCAGCTTCCGTCTGAAGAAGTGATTCATGAGCAGTTGGTTACCTCTTTGGCCAAAGTGTTTTCATATGATGATGTTGTGTGGAAGGAAGATCCTTCAGCCATTTTAGACACCCTGGAGGACAACAACTAATAGCACCATTCATCTAAGTTATCTTTTAATGCATTGAAATTGAGATTTGTAACACTTTCTATATCATTTGATCATTTATAAACATTTCTTTCTATCATAATCATTCAAAATCATTTAAAAGTCAAATCAACAGTACTTTAAAGTGTTTAAACCAAATACAACAAGTAACACAAATGTTCACACCCCTATAAATCTCTATTTTCAAGAGAAATAGCAACACATAAAATCTCACACCTCTTTAATTTTCATATTATGTCAGTTAATGATGCAAATATGCATTAAAACAAAAATAAAAAAAAATCTAATATTTTTTTGAAATATGTGGGTTAATCCCTACGAAAAATTTAAATTTGCTGAAAATCTCTACTTTCTAGAGAAACGGGAACACATAAGGTCTAAAACCTCTTTAATCTTCATACTATGTCAGTTAATGATGAAAATATGCATTAAAACAAAAATAAAAAAATTTCTAATTTTTCTCGAAATATGTGGGTTAACCCCTACGAAAAAATTGAATTTTTTCAAAAAAATGCTTTCTTTGATTTTTAGACATTTCAGTGTTGTTTAAAAATATTAAACCATACTCTAAATGTATATTAATGTATGCTAAACATATTTCAATGGTACAAGGTCATCATTTCTAACTTCCCAATGAGTAACTTATTTAAATTTCATATACGATCTAATTAGTGTCCTAACCCCTATAAAATCTCTAT